TTTACATATTTCGCACAAATCAGCGTATTTACGTTTTTCCACCTATAGCGATTATTACGTACTCCGCTAATCTGATAATAATACGACGGAAAAGTTCATGCCTAAGCAATTGCGCGGATCGAGACAATCGTGGGGAAAAATAATCGCCTGAAAATGATTCAGTGGCAAATGCGAAACAATTAAATCCTATTCACATAATAAATAATCTGCAAAGGGAAAATTACAAACTAGTGTTCTTGTGGAAAGGAAGCGATAAAACACAATTATTTAAATTCGTACCTTGCTGGTATACGTTTATCTTAGTTAATTTTTTTGTCGTTTCTGACATATACTATAAATAATTATAAGTATAAAAACAATTAGAAATTGGCTGGTTTTATAAAAAATTAAGATAGGATAAGATGCCTCAGTGCTGAAGTTATCGCAGAAAAACTGAAAATTTGTTTTATTACAAATTACATTCTTAGTCAGCTTTGCAGTGCAATTTCTTGTAAAAAAATATGAAAAAAAAAACAATTATAAACACGGATCCAAAAATTCCGAGTTTTCAAGATACAGGGTGTTAATTTGATTTTTTTTAGCATGTATACAAATATTCACTGGGTTCTGTTGAAATTTAGCAATATTATTAATAGATTAAAACCATTGAGTGCAGTGGGGTCCATACGATAAAGTACACTACAACAAATGTTGGAAATGACGACTCAAGCTAAAATTCGAGGCCTATTTCATATCTCTTCGTAAGCATTTACGAATTTGTTTTTTTTTTCGCGAAAATGAAGTGAGATACAAAAAAATACAAAAACCAAAGAAGTTGTATTTTTAGATGCTTAATCAAAAGCGGCAGCGGCGTACATTTGTCGCCAATAATATTCGCTAAGGTACCCCCGGTAATAAACTGGACTGATTAATTTTATTATATTAATTGAATTAGCCTCTCCATAAACCAAATATCATTGCCAAATTTCAATAGAATCGAGCGAATATTTGTTTAGATATTAATAAAAAAATGTGTATAGTTATCCAAAATAACACAAATCTTGAGAACTCTGCATTTTCGGACCCAAGTTTTTGACAAGAGATCACGCTTTAAAATATGGCAGTCTATTTTTGCAACACACTGTATATTGTGAAGATGAAAGTAAGAAAAAATACAGGTTCTTTTTTGGTCCCATTTAGTCACAGGGACGGTGATAATAATTTGTCTTAATATAATAAATCAAATTTACTGAAAAAATACTGAAGTATTAGAGCATAATATTTTTCCAAGGAAATCTAATCTGGTTAAGAAATTAAATTATCTGCGGGATCAGAAATTGGATGCTGCTAAATGGTTTGCCAAATTTCATCGCGGAAAGTAGTTAAAGTTAGGATAAAAAACGATTTTTTTCTTAAAATGCATATTTCAAAATACTATAAAATAATAGCTTGAAAATCCACTTTTGAATTGACCGTGCAAATTTTGGTTAATTGACGCTAAAAAACGTAAATGTAAGTGTCTCAATATGTCTTAATATGTCACAAGTTTCGTTTATTTTTTGATAGAATCTATGTAGATTCGTGTAGATTCATGTATAGATTAGTGTTTGTACTCGTACGCTGTACATAAAAAGTTTAATTTAATTGGAATATAAAATTTGATTAATTGTTACACTTCAATGCGAATTAAATTTTTTGGTCATATAAAACGCTTTCTGTTAGCAGACAGGAGAATCAAATAATTTTTCTTTTTACGGATTTTAACTTATACAATAGAAAAATAAATTCATCACAATCTTAATAATTTTAATATCTCAATACCGAGACATTTTGAAAACCTCTTACTTCGACTTCATTATGCAGAGCCGTAAAAAACGCTGTGTTGACAGGCCTGAAATCACGATCAAACTTCTATATGTTTTTGATAAGCGATTTGCTACTGCAGCCTGTTGATTTGGGCTTCGGCAAGACAACATATCCAGGATCACATCTTTTTTCTTATGCTTTGGATTAAATTTACCTGAAATTTGATAAAGAATTTAAACCGTCCAAGCGTAAATTGCAATTCGATATGTTTGTCATTTATCTTTTGCGACGTTAAAAGCGTAGGTACCCTCACAGCGACGACAAAGAAAATTACGCGAACATCTCATTTAGGTTGAAAATAGTTTTAGAAAACTCTAAAAACCAAAAGGCAATTTATTCTACTTAAAGGGGCGTTAATTCTCTAGCGGTGCATTTACCCTAAATTACCTCCGTGTTCATTTTAACGTGGATGACTAGCTAAAATAGGTCTTCCAAAGACAGAATTTTCTCAGAGAGTGAATACGCTAAAACGATGAGTAGGTCGGTATTCTTTTTAAAAGTTCGATAGATCCAAATGCGAATGAAAAAAAAAAAAAAAACAGCAGGATACTCCCAACTGGTAAAAAAATGACTGTTTTTAACTGCAAATTAAAAAAAAATACATTTTTTAATTTTTCATTTGGTGAGTTTTTTTCAAATATGAATGATATTAACGCGACTGTTTGTACTTTTATTAAATTAAAATTTAAAAGAAAGTTAGTATTAAGGAAAAAAGAAAGAGATGGAGATACTATATGGCATAACACCTTGGGGACGAAAAGGAAAACTAATTTAAAAAATGATGATTAATCTATCAGTTTAAATTACGTTCTAATTACTAGCGATGTACTTTCTGATGCTTTCAATACAGTATGCCTAAGTTAAGAACTGTAGACCCTTGTAAAATCTTTGTTTATGGTCCGATTTTGATTTTTTTGTTGCATAGAACTTCCAAGAGGCCACTAAAATTGTGTTTTTGATATAGCATCGACGAAAGTCATAGCCAAATGAAGCAGTTTTGGGAAGCGGAAAATCGTACGGTGCTTTTATGGGGTTTTTTAAAATTGAAAATGACAAAAGATTCGTGTTCAGTACTGCCTAAAAGTCGTTATAACAATGACAAAAGTTTTTAAAGTTTTAACGTTTACCTTGTAAATAACGTTACATTTATGTGTGATTTTAAGACTTACAAACAAATTTTAATTATGCAAATTTTAAAAATAATGATAACAAAGGCTTCAAATACTTTTTAAGGGTCATTATCATCATAAAACAACAGCATTAATAAATCTTAATAGTGGTAAAATGGTATTGGAAAAATTTAATGTAGATACTACCTAATTCTCTTAAACGACTAAAGAATGAATGAATTCGAATCTGTTGTAGTTCTCAATTTGAACAAAACCCTAAAAGAACTTCTCGATTTTCCGCTTCAAAAAAGTTTTGTGTTAGTTCTCTATGCCCTTTAGTGAGATCTATAAAAAAAATATCAAAATTATACCATATACAAACATTCTACAAGAGTAGAATGGCTTTAGGTCGTGTTGAATAAGAATTCTTGGACACTTTATTCTTAAAGAAAGCCCTAATAGCCCTTTTCGATATTTGGCATCAAAAAATAGTCTCAGTTGGCCGTCACTTCAGGTTGATACAATAAGTACCGCTAACATAAGGTTTTAATACGTTTTTGAGAGGTATATGGAACAAAAATAAACACATTAAAAAATAAAACTATTAAAATCAAACGACATTTCAAACAACCTGTATTGAAATTGGTATAGTTGGGTTCTAAGCACTCCTGAATAAGAAATCTTTGCCAATTCATTTTTAAAAATTCCTTAATAGTACTTCACTCTTCCCTCTCTTTTGTTAAATAGTTTCAGTTGAAATTAGGTTGAACCGATAATCAAAACAAGTTTTTAATACATTTCTGAGACATCTATCCAACACAAAAAAATTATCACAACCGAACTATGAACAAAGATTTTACAAGGGTGTACAGTGGGACACATTGTATACAGTAACATACAATACTCTCAAAGCTTTTATCTGGTTCTGGTGCAGTACGTAGAATGAAGTTTTATGAAAATTTATTGAACCAACTAAATCTACCCGAGTATCTTACATTGTAGGATCACGTTTCTGTGTTTGTCACCTACTCTTATGTTGTTTTCGCAGTCGATATTGAATTGTTAATTTTTCAAAGAAACTTTTGATTTTCGGTAAATTTAAAGTTAACCGATGCAGGAGGAATCCGGAAGATATGTAAATAGTATTGAGTTTTTAATGTTCAAACGTGATCAGTGTACAGGTCTTTAGTGGAAAAGACCTATTTCTTTACAAATTAAAATTAGAAATATTTTCTTTCTTACCTTATTAAATTGTTGAAGGTTGTGCGATATTCTATACCTGTACAATAATCTGTTTACTATTAATGAATAATAATGAACTTAATAAAATATAACATATCTTATTTTATTTTTGAAAAATCTAGTTATCTAGGTCAAACATTTCAATTAGCAAATATATTTTATATCCACGTTATTGTGTTATAATCCATGCACTTTCAATAAAATTTAATTTCCCAAAACCTCGTTGGACTTGGAGCAATTGTTCGTAACAGGTTGTTTATTTCAGTGTAAGGAACAAAAGGAATACAGAAAGCAAAACGAAACCGTTTTTATAATTAATAACCGACGGGAAAACCACTTAAAATATATATGAACTAAAATTTACAAATTGTCTGTTTACTTAATTCCACATCATCTACAGAAAATATTGGAGCACTTGAAGAGATGTAGAAAATTTTTGGAGCTTCTTGAAGTTTTTGGAAGCATTTTCAAAAAGGATCTAAAAAATCTTTTATAACGATGTAGATTCATTTCAAATTACAAAACCAAACACTTGCGTATATCCTGAGAACGGAGGGTATGTTAATGGTGGTTATTTAAATAAACAGATAACCGCAATGGATTTGGGCTGTTTTAGATAAATAAAACCGGAATTCCCATACAGGTCTTGATGTCGAACGATTCATTCAGAAGAGAACATTTACATTTTCGTGTACTTGACCATTGTCTTCTACTAACGAACTTCACACTTGGTGGTCACGTTAATGCGATGGCCGTGGTTAAATCTGCTACTCTGAGAGCTAATTGATCGGCAGATAACACTATATAAAATAACACATAATGTGAAATATACTTTTAGTAACAGGTTTAATGAAGACGAAGTCGAAACATCAGGAATAGTTGTGCGTTTCGTGCCCATTAATAAATTACAATCTGACTGAAGAAATGGTCCTCCAAATGTGGACTATGTTAACTCGCAATGTGATTGTTTTATGCGTTAGTTACTCGTGTGTTACTTATGCGGCCGACCAACCAAATATTGTGTTTATAATAGCTGACGATCTTGTAAGTAGACAACGCAATTTATTTAGCGATGCTGTACCTATTGAAGAGAAAATAAAAACGAAATATAAAATGTAAAATGTTTGGGGAAATTATGGACCTTAAAAATATTAATTACCAAAGAAGTAGATATATTTGATTTCGTAAATATCGTGTTGAAGTGGATACTTGCAAGAAGTGTCACTTCGATTTTTATGATTTTACTAGCAACATGCGCATGGATTGATCCGAAGTAATTTGAATTACATGTTTCGTTACCTATTTGACAAACGTGCATAAAAATACGATATTCTAATTTCTTAATTTACCGCCAACTTATTGTTGAAATAAAAACAAATTTAATTAATGTACAACGAAATTGCCTTAAAATTTCTGTAGTTGGAAATTTGAAATCCCGGTATACCCATTAAAAAATAATTCTGCAAGTTGTACAGGTGTGTCGCTAATGATATAGTTCACATAGTTTTTATAACATACTTTTATTTATAATATATCAAACGGTTTTTTTTTCTTATCTAGCCAAAACGTAAAACGTTTTTTATTTTATTAATTGTGTTCGCCGTATAAATTATTTTGTCGCAATAAATTAGCACGTATTTTATAATAGCATATTTGCATTTTAAACAATCTGAAAAGGAAGTGCGATGGTGTTGGTCGGGGAATAACAACCGCAAGTATGGACCAATTTCCCAGAACATCTGCATTAATAAACAAAATATTTAAAGGTGCTCTTTGAGAAAGAAAAGGTTTGGCGGAAAAATGCGGATTACTGCAAGTTGTTCTGAAGTTAATCTTAATTTTTACTTCACCTTAAGTTACACTGAACTAATGGGTTAAAATAATTATTTCATTTCTCAACTTTTTCCAATATTATTTACTAACATATAATTTATTTAATGACAATTTATGATAATAGTTCTCATATATTTTGCTGCTCAGCATATTACTTTAAAGTTTAGACAGGCTGAAGCGAAATTTCTGAAATCTCGGAATTTTGTAGGGATGGAACGACGTCGGCTTTCACGGCAGTAACCAGATACCGACCCCAAATTTAGACGCTCTGGCTTACAACGGCATAATTTTAAACAGTCATTACGCACAGTCTAGCAGCACCCCCACCAGGTCGGCTTTGCTTACGGGAAAATTTCCAATGCGACTTGGTATGTACATACGTCACTGATTGAAATTGAAAGTTTTTCTTTTTCCACAGATGTTTACATCTGAGAACTAATAATAAATCTTCTGGGCTGTTTTAATTTTAGAGGCTCTAAATAGCTCAGTACTTGAAAATCCAAATCATTCGCGAGATTCTTCAACCAGGAAATCTTTCGTCTTCCAATGCTTCTCGGTATCTCAATGTTGCCCTGCATAATTATTTGTAAAATTTTTAACTGCTGGAATAGTATTAAGTAAGCTATCTAATATTTAAAGCCTTTTTTGTAGCATTAGTTTCACCTCAGATCAGTGATTCTAAAAGTATGTTGCAATTAAAACACTGCCTCATTATTATTCTAAGTAAATCATTTCAAAATTATTCTCGACTTTCCAAGAACTTTCCACAAATACTAATCGATGTTTTTTGATATGTTAAATTAAGGAAAAACATGAATAAACATATGAATTAAAACCATTTTAATGTTTTATCCTTTATATAATTTGTATTGTTTTTATTTAATTATTCTTATTCACAACTTTCCATAGTCAAAATTATATTTAATGGTTCAAGTTTTGGTATATTGGAGATTTTAGGTATTTTCAAAAATTCAAGCGCAAGACGAAATAAGCCCTAGTTCGCCCATTAGATATTTTTTTTAGTTCATTATTTAGTTTAGTTTATTATTCCACTTCGCAACTACCCGAAATTATCGCAGTTCTCCTAAGGTTTAGTAAAGGCAGCAACATTTTTAATTTATGATTAATTTACTTCGGAATTACTAAGTTTTTAAGTCATTTAATGTCGTATATTTGTGGGATATTTCCGTTTATATATTGCGAAGATTATTTTCGACTTCCCAGGAATTTTTCACAAATACCAATCGATGTATATTAATATATTAAATTCAAGAAAAGCGTGAACAAACATATGAATCAAAACCAGTTTAATGTTTCATTCAGCAATATTTTTAATTTTTAATTGCTTTACTTGGTGGAATGTGTGATTACAAATATAATTGTATATGTCTCTTAAGGTATTTTTTCATTGGCGTTATTTTATTTACGTTTTATAGTCACTTAAACTGGAAAATAAACTCCCCAATTTAAAATGTTGCGTGGTATAACTTTTTTGTTTTATGGGAGTACTAGTTACATATTCGCAGTTTTGAAAGAATTAAACAAAACTCGTTTTAGGTATGCAGGGACCTGGAATAGCGGCTGCCGAGAAAAGGGCATTACCGGAGCATAAAATTTTGCCAGAATATTTTAAGGTAAAATGTGGTTTTTCACAATAGTGATTGTGAAGCTGTGCTTGCAAATGTTTAGTAATTTGTATAAAAATGTTAGCTGAAAAATGAATTATATTGGAAATAACGAATGAATTTAATTCTGAAAACTATTGGAACAATAAACTTCACGGTAATTAAAATGACGCTACCCAAATTAAGTGCATTCTTTATAGATGTTTTAAGGAAATAATTTCTTTTATAGTAAATATTTTGAATTGCTGGTTCAACAGAATTTAAAATTGGAACACAATTTTTCAATTCGATTTTTTGTAATGTCATTCGTTTGAGTTCACTTGTGCTTCCTATTCCTTACTTTCGTTTTTATTTCTCTTGGTCTTCTCAGCATTTTGGCGGTGTTTTTTTAAACTTTCGAAACATTACTATTCTTTTCATTGAAAAACAGAGTCAGTTTGTTAAATATTTTGTACAGGGTGTTTTGTGAAGGGTTAGCGGTGGACGTATAGATAGACCCATTTAGAAGATTATTAATAGACCTTTGGTTGTATTAGCAATATCAGCTCATAACTCATAATTTTAGTAGTATTTGTAAAAAACGAGTACCTCACAGGCGAAAAAGAATAATAATAATATATATTGGAATTGTTTTAAAAATTAATATAAGTGAATAGGTCAATTTTAAAAAAAACGAGGAACGTGTAGGTCTCAGATCTATGTATTAATACTATGTGTCCTTTTAAAATACCTAATTTTATTATTATTATTATTGTTAACGCGATTATTTTCATTTAGTTTTTAAATACCTGGGAAAAGTTTAGTTTTCGCCACGTGTTGTTTAATAAAAACTATTTTTGCAATTTATTCGAAAGGGTAGAAATCTCTATTTTCCGTGAAATTTATTGTCGACGTCGATTCTGACGCAATAAGTACAGTATTGAAAATTGAGGATTTCCCTTGTAAAATTAAATCGAATATTTTCCAACATAATTCGTAAAATTCCATTCCGCGTTTTCTTTGAAAGCCGCGAATGGCGCGAGAAGTTAAAAAGATTAAAAATCAGCGCGTTAAATTTGACAGCTGAATGAACATAATTTTAAAAATCAATAAATCGACATATAAATGTATGTATGCACATCGCGGGAGCAAGCATGGTGTTGGTTTGGCTTATAAAGATGAAGCGTACGTTTTTCCGGTTCTAAATTGAATTTTGTTTACTTGAAAACATTTTTCGGAGGGTAGAATAAGAAAGATGAAAGAACACGAATAAAGATATCTCTATTGTCGATTTAAAAAAAATCGTCAAATGTTTTACACGAGGCTTCAGAGGAATTATTTTAGAATAAGATGAAGTGTACGTTTTTCCGTTTCAAAATTGAATTTTGTTTACTTGAAAACATTTTTCGGAGGGTAGAATAAGAAAGATGAAAGAACACGAATAAAGATATCTCTATTAACGAGTTAAAAAAAAATCGTCAAATGTTTTATACGGGGGTTCAGAGGAATTATTTTAGAATAGTTTTAGTAATTATTAATCCTTCTTCCGAAGATGGCCTTTGAAATAAGTCTTTGAAATGAAAATGAAAGTACATTTCTCTCTCTTTCATTAGAATAGAATAGATACCTGAAATTAGGTATAGTCTGTCTCTCTGACTTTCCCCAATAAAACTTTAACGATATTATTTCCTATTGTTATCGAGTAACGCCATTAACAAAAGATGTATTCTTACTTGAGTGACAAAGCAAGGGTGGATCAGGTATATTTCTTTCTTTCTGATTTATTTCTTGAGAGTTGACCATTTGTGGCAGTGCTGAATAATCGTTTTTATTGTGCGTTTCGAAAAAGTTATTTAACGAGAATATAACAATGTCGAAATCATTTGTCGCTTGATGCAAAACAGGTTGTGAAAAATGTGTATGAAACTTTAATCAATCAATCAACTTTAAAAAAAACCAATAAGAACCAAAATATAGCGTCTTTGTTAAAGCGAAGTTGTTCCAACCTTGGATAAACTGATAACGAAGAAGAAGAAGATGAAATCAATATAAATATAAGCCGTGCCACATTCCATAGGTAAAAGTCAAGTTGTAATGGAATCGTACCGATTACGCACTTGGAGATTTAATTACCTTAAAAAAAAAGGATGCGTTGATTCCACTCAAAATTGTCAGACGAAAGCACCTTCAAAGTCAGAAGACGGATTTGATTGCTGTTGTCTGCAAAGAATGTCAATCATTCTAGCTCGGATTGTCTTGGTTTCAAAACAATATTTTCAAAAATATTCCCAATAACAGTGTTATTGTCATACCATAGTCGTCTGCTGTGCAAAGCCCCATCAAACTGAAATCCAGGAATATTTGTTAGAAAATGATATTTATTTTGAATTTAGTTACAAAAAAGCCCAAGTTTTGGAAGTCCTAAATTCATATGCAATTAAAAAACAGTAGGTATGCGATAATTCCCATATCATATCATTGCGAGTAAAATCAAAGGTCAGAGAAGAAGATGTTACTTCTACTTTAAGTCCCAGTGTTATAAATTTGATAAAAAATGTAATTAATAACATATCAGTTGGGAAATGGAAAAATTCAGTACAGCACCTTATAAAAATTGAGGGCTCCTACATTTCTATACAAAACAAAATAACGACAACTGATGGTGAAACAGAATTAGATTTACACATTTAGAATAAAAATGTAGCTATGTATAGAATTTCCTAGCTATGAATTTATTGTATACATCACGTTATTGTTTTTTCTTAGTGTAATTTAATAAGATTAGACCCACCAAAATAAATAAATAAATAAATAAATAAATAAATAAATAAATAAATATATATATATATATATATATATATATATATATATATATATATATATATATATATATATATATATATATATATATATATATATATATATATATATATATATATATATATATATATATATATATATATATATATATATATATATATATATATATATATATATATATATATATTATATTTCACTTTTCAAAAATAACTTTTTAAAAAATATATTTATTAACTTTAAATTAAAATAAAAATCAAAATGAAATTGTACGTAATAACCTCGTGACGAGAGAATGTTATTAGACCGTTAAAATACAAGTAAAAATGGACATAATAACCTCGTGATGAGAGAATGTTATCAGACCGTTAAAATCAAACTAAAAATGGACATAATAACCTCGTGATGAGAGAATGTTATCAGACCGTTAAAATCAAACTAAAAATGGACATAATAACCTCGTGATGAGAGAATGTTATCAGACCGTTAAAATCAAACTAAAAATGGACATAATAACCTCGTGATGAGAGAATGTTATCAGACAACGTTTTACAATAGAAATTCGTATTTATAATAAATTTATGCTGACGTTGACGGGGTCGACGGCTGCGGATGTTGCGACATATCGTTGACACGACGTTTTCGCAATCGTTGCACTCTTGCAGGTCGGTGGCATTTAACCCATATGGACAATAGGATTTCCGGATATAACAGCTCCCCCATTAAGTGAAAAGGTGGAGCCTAGCTGCAGCTTTTCGTAGACTAATTAAAGCGTAGCTTCTCGGGTAGTTACTTCTGGGTGGATGCTAGTCCGTCTTGTCGGAGTTAGTGATTTGAGTTGCATCGGGAGCAGGGGTCTTCGACTTGGCTTCGGAGGTTGTTGGGGATCGTTACCATCGGCGATGCTGAGTGTTGTCGGTTTCTTTCTCCGGCATTTGCAAATGAAACAGCAAAGTATTAGTTTCAGGGGTTTCAACTCTGGGGGTTGAAACTGGAATTTGAGAACAGCAATCATATGGAATCTTAACGGCTTGGTTCTTGTAGGTCACGTTCTTATATTCTTCGACACAGTGTTTAGCTCGTACTCTGGAGCTTCCAATAAATGCACTCGAATTTGTTTGCAGCTTTTTAGATCTTCAGGTATTACATAGAGTAAAGAATCGTCATCACGCGCAATATATTTTATTATTGTTGCAATTATATGAAATAAACGTGTTCGATTGTCCAAAATTGGAATAGGTAAAACACGATACAATGTGTATATTTCAGGTTCTATTAAGGGAATTCTTGGTACAAAAACAATTTTATTTTCAGTTTGAAATGCTTCTAGCTCCATAATATCTACGTACTTTACAATGCTCGAAGTATAGGGTGGTAGTGATAAATTATTTTTTTTTTGTCAAGGATTTTGAAATTTCCTGAAGAGAAATGACTAAATCTCGTGGGTAAATAATAGAGCAATGTAAAACTTTGATTCGTGTGAACGTGATTGCGTTTAATATATCGCTGAGGTAAGACTCTAGGTATACATAACCTTCCGTAAAGCTTTCGCAAAGATTAAGTGTTTTAATTTGACATTCGTAAAATGCTACGGTGTCCGAAATATCATAGAGAGATTTTTAAATTTGAGTTAGATCTTGATTAAAAGTTTCTTCGTCGATTCGGAGAGTTTAAATTGTAGAATTAAAAGATTTTGTTACTTTATTTATACATTCATTAAAGTATTCGCCGTCTGTAGAGTCTAGGTTTCCGGTAATTAATTTAAAAATAGTTCTTACACCGTTAATTAAACCGCGTTTAGTTCTAAAATTAAAATTTTCAGTGTTGATAGTAATTTCTGAAAATTTCTCTTCGACTGAGTCAGCAATTATAGTTAGAAGACTAAAATGAGTTTGGATACTTGTTTTTAAGGCTGTCGTACGAGGAAAAGAATCGTCTAACATTTTTTGTGAGAGAGGAAAGTATTTTGTTATTATGTCGTATGGTTTCTCGCAGAGGTTTTAGTTTTTTTTTTATAAACTAGCAGCTTCCATTTGTTGTTGGATACTTTTAGACTACTTTCTTCATGGTATAAGATGCCTACTGTATTATTTACTGGAGTAATGAGGATTTGGGGTGCGACCGTAGAGATCAGTCCCAAGATCTTGAAAGAAATTTAATTTAATCGTAATAAGGTTTAAACTTGTCAAAATTAAATTTTGAAACTTGTTCGG